GTCCGGTGCCATCGAACGTGTCGGACAGGCCGGTGTGGAGCGGTTTTTTTTTTTATTTTTGGCAACTAAAACTTACTTATTTTGCTCATTTTTAAGGATTTTCATGGGATCAATGGTCAAGAGAGTTAATCCGGAAAACTTCTCACTGGCAAAATTTCAATCGTATTGGAAATACTAGCTCTAAATATTCACCAACAATTTTTCTTATCCTTTCATCAGAGGCTCATATTATGGCGAATCAATATATTATACTCACGACAAGTTAGCTAGATTTTACAAGCTGCTGTCGATTTAAATTCAACATTTTTCTTGAAATTTTGGATCACTCGTATTCAGTAATCTTAGCTGATTTTCATAGAAGCCCAATGGCCACCAGTATTCAAATTCATGCTTTCATAGCAAAATGTTTTGAATAAAATCTTTTCTATTGTTACGGTCTTTCTAACTAGTAGCATCATGCTACCGCATTAATATTTAGGTATCAATAAACCTCAAATAGGAAGTCTAATGTATAAATCTTACCGATTAGCTCACATTATCTTTCTCTCTACAGTAGCATTCTTCTGTGAAGTGGAATATATTTCAGCTGTGTTAAGAAACTAAGTATTTCAAATAAGAATAGACTAAAACTATCAATGGTAAAGAAATCATATCATTATTTGAAAAGACTCAAAGAATAGTTAGCTGGTGTTCAATCCTAGTTGCTGTGAGTCCTAGTTAAAACTTTTTGAAAGAAATCTTCATTGGTTCTGAATATTAGCATACTAAATATAACAGACTAAAAAAGAACTCGCTGCCATTAGAAGCTTCAAGAATTGTATGAGTTTGATATTATATGTCTTAGTAGAGATAAACTAACAAACTGTTTCACGAAAACATCGGTTGTTTAGCTAATACATGGGTGCACTGCTTTTTTCGTCAGGTAAATCAAGAATTTGGACCAGCCATTTTTTCGCCGATCAAGTGATAAACTTGGACCGGCCGGTTTTTTGCCGGTCCAGGCAAGAATTTGGACCGACCGGTTCCAAGTCTGCTGAAATGTCAAAAAAAAGAACAAGAATGAAAAGAGTTAAGAGTAAATAATAAAATGAAGGAACGTATAGCTTGCTTTACAAAATCTAATGTTTTTCTATTGATAGTTTCTGACCTTTTTGACAATGAGAAAAGCAGAAAGAACGAAGATAATAGAATACAGAACAAAACAAAAGTTTTTAATTGGTAATTTTGTTGAAAAATCTAACTATAAACTGACTGTTTGAGACTATTGTTACATATGTTGATTATGAACGTTAGAACAAATCTTAACATTCAAATAGTTCTCAGCTTCTATGACATTTTATACATGTATAGCAGTATAGAATTAAATATTCAGATCGATTTTGAGGTGATTTCAAAACATTATACTCACATTAGTAGTCAAAGATATGTAATATACACAAGACGATCGATTGTCAAGTCGTATTTATGAAAATGTTGACACAAAAATAAAACGCATCTTTTCTCTAGGAAACTGATCATGACTGGTGTTGATTTTAGGAAATATACACCAGGACCTAGAAAGCGTACAGATAAAATTCAGTCAAGATATTTATTTGTTCAAGATTTCTCCCCCAAATTTAACGAAACAGTTTTCGAGTTGAAATTATAGTGTAGCCATCGTTTGCCACTACGATTTAATAGAGTTCATTTCTTAAATTCTTCTTTGTTAAATTTTGGTGTCCAATTTTTTCGATAAATTAGAAAAACAACTGAGTACTCCTTGGGCATGGGTGAGTGTGGGGGTGTAGATCTTCTCTTCTAACTTGTCCATACCCACACCAATTAATACCTTCTTTAAAGTGAGCGTATATGAAATGGTTATTTGACTGCTTTTTATTATCTATCATCTGCTTCTTATGCTCTACGAATAAGTAGATTTTATGTATCAGAGTTGTTGATATTACATAAAGATGCACCTACATGTTCGTCTGTCAACAAAATCACCACCAAAAAATAACGGAAACAATGAAAAAGATACGAAAAGCTCATTTATTAGGAACAACACAACAAACAAAATAAAATCGATTAATTAATGCATTAGAATCTGGTTTAATTAATGTTTAAAATAATTGAAAAGCTAAAAGACAAATAATTTGAGAGGATTTGCTTTTGAAATAAAATTTTGTATTATTATTGAAAAATCTTTTAATTCTAATCGTTTATATGAACAAGAAAATAAATAATCTTAGACTAATGAAAAAGCAGATATTCTGAAATCTTTTCTTCATTTCACAGCAAAATATGCGTCAACTCTCTAAACTGAACATATCTGCATAGTGAATGCTTTCATAAAAAAGCGGTCTCGACAGTGTTCACAATAGAGAGATATAATTGCTATCGACATCTAGCGCTCTCTATTGAAATTATTTAAACAACAATCTTTGGATGTGGATTTGCGTTGCTCTCTTCTAATCAATGAAAGTATTTGAAACAAAATGATGCAATGGCACATGGAAAAGTTTTTTTATTTATTTCAAAATTACTTTCTGTTAATATAAGAACTAATGTAAGACGAAACTTTATTTTCATTTCAAAAATAATGAATAAAAATCGTTTTTTTGCAGACGGAAATTCTTCGTCAAGCGAAGAAAGCAGTGATAATGAACAACAAATAAAAGTTCAAACAAAAAAATCGTATGTTTGTTTTTTTCTCTCTCTCTCTCTCATAAAAGTAAAACTTTTTCTTATTTATGCTGATATTATTTTCAGTTTTGCAAAGTCATATTTTATTACCAATGATAGTAATGAAGAAAATGTTAAACGTATCGTTCGAAGTGAAAAAGATAAACGGTAATCATACTTTAAAATATTAAGAATGACATAAATAATTTTATTTCATTTTGTAGATACGACGAAATAGAAGAATATATTAAAAAAATTAAACAAGTCATACGCATACGTGATCTTAATCAAGTTTACGAATGTATGTTTTTTTTAAATATATTCTATTTGTATGATGATAACTGTATCAATAGGTTTTGGAAATTTAATCAAAGCATATGATAAAGCTCGTCGAGTAATTGAAAAAGAACAAAGTAAAACTTTAAAAAAAGTAGATTAATTATTTTGATATTCATCATATTGTTTTGTAGCAATACCACGATTTTATATAAAAATATTAGCGCAACTTGAAGATTTTCTTAGTGAAGTATTTGATATTAAAATATAAATAAATTTTATTCTTTTATTTTCTTTTTGTTATTGATAGTGTTGGAATAATAGAGATGAGTGTAAACAATTCAATAAAAAGAATTCAAATAATTTGAAAAAACTTCGTCAAAAATTTCATCAATATGTACAAATAGAATCATTGCAAAATGAAATAAATCTATATCGTGAGGTTAGTTATTTAAATTTTCTTCTATTTGATTTATTCATAGTTGTTATTATTCTAGAAACCAAATGATGATCAATTAGTTGAAATCAATGTGACTTCATCAAATGATGAAGATCAACAAAATAATGTAAGAACAGATTATGAGAAATACATACTTATTATTTTCTTTCAGGATAATGAAGGTGATTCAAGTGACGAGTTTTCCAGCAAAAGCAATGATAATTCAATTGATAATGAATTATTGATTGAAAAAAAAGAAACTGATATGTATGTTTATTTTCAAAGACGAAAAACTGACAGTCAAAATAAAACTACTACTAAACGACGAGCAGAAGAACGTAAACATATTCAACGTACTAATGTAGAAAGCTTAGAAGAACCAAAGTTTACAGAAGAAGTAAAGTTCTATGAATTTATTCTTTAAAGATTTATTTATAATTTTTTGTTAAATTTAGATTCCTAAACTTGAAAAATTTGATAATGATGAAGAAATTTCATATGAAGATATTTTAAAAAAATTAAATGAAATTCTTTCTATACGTGGTAAACGTTCTACAAATTATCATGATCAATTAGAATACTTGAATCATCTTCGACAATATGTTAAAAAACGAAATTTAACTGTTGAAATTGATATTAAAATTTTATTAATACAAATTATAATTAGTTTCGATTATCATCAAAAAGAAAACAATTATTTAAAGTTTGAAACATGGACACGGTAGAAAATAAAACAGAGCCATATTTTTCTCTTCATCTTATTTTACTTCTTTTATAGTATCCTTGATTATACTGATGAATTAGTAACATTAATATCCGACAATGATCATATAGATATCAGTGAATATCTAAAGGTAAAAAAAAATTACATTTCTAGATCAATAATTTCAAAGGAAAGATATCGTTTAACGGTCATAAGATGTTAGGAAGTTGTATTACGATGATTATGTCTAACACTAAAGTCATTAATTCCAGCCGAAAAAATGGTAAAAATTTGGTAGCAAGATTTCGGTAGCCCAATTTTTCTAGTTACTGATAGAATCTGCTACCGGATTTCTGTTTCTAAATTTCTATCATTTTTCTTGCCAAAAGCGAATCATATTTCTTAACCGGAGAAGGCTGTTTCTTGTTGGAAGTAGAAATCTCTCACAAGGAACTAACCATATATCATTTACTTCGGTTTTTGTTTTTCATATAGGAAGAATCGATATTGTATAATCTTCATGATGATGTAATAACTATTATTCTTAAAATAAATGATGAATTTACAAAACTTTTACGAAATATTGATCATCATAGTCAAAACTATATCGAACGATTGAAAGATGAATTTCGTATTTGCTCAATAATTAATCGATTAAAAATTTATTTCGAATTAAAATCTCATGATAATAATAAAATTATTCAATCAGAACATTTATGTAAGATTTATTTATGTTTTATTGAACATATTTATTATAAATATGATAAAACATTTGATCAATCTTCTATTGTATTAATGAATCATTTATGTAAATATATTTATACGAATGAAAAATTAAATCATGTACATACACAAGCAAATCTTTATCATATTTATCATTCATCATTACATGATCATTATAATGAAGCACGTAATTTAATGTTAATGAGTCACATACAAGAAACAATTCATTTTTCAAATATTTCTACACAAATTTTATATAATCGAACAATGGTTCAATTAGGTTTATGTGCATTTCGTTTTGGTGAAGTACATGAAGCACATCAAATATTAATGAATTTACAACCAGGAAATCGTATGAAAGAATTATTAGGACAAAATATTCATATAATGAATACTTCTGAAATCAAAGAACAACAACATTTATTACCATATCATATGCATATTAATTTACAATTAATTGAATGTATTTATTTAATATCAGCTATGCTTATTGAAATTCCATCTATACGTAAACAATCAATTAGTAAACATTATCGTATTGTAATGTGTCAAGGTGAAAAACAACTCACTTTTGAATCAATGGAGACAATGCGTGAACATATTCTTGCAGCTAGTCATGCATTAAAAGTAGCTGACTGGAATACATGTGTCAATTATTTAATTAATGATAAAATGAATAAACAAGTAAGTTAATCTGTAGAAGATGATAATAATTTAGAAAATAAAAAATAGATTGTTACTCAAAAAAGAAAATTTCGAATAAAATTATAATAACAACAGATCGTCATGGATGAAAATGAAACAAAGTTCTCATAGTTTGAAGATGTTAAGGTTAGGATAGTTCTATGATCTCAATATGAACGTAAGCATTTTCATCTATTCATTAAAAAAAATGACCTGAGAATGATTTTAATTACTTTGATTTCGGGTACTTTGGATAAATTTGCATTGCCGTGAATGAAATATAACTACCTAAAATTCTTTGCGTTCACATAAGAGTAGCTTACCTAAGAAAATATGAAACGGATGAAGAAAGTATTTCTGTACCTGTCGGCTACCAACCAGTCAGATGCATACGTAGTAGCTAAGTACAAGAGCAGACATATATCACAATGTAGTCAGCATGCTATTGGATTAGTGAACCGAGGGAAATAGTCGCTAGTGATATTCAAGTTTGCACACAGTACCATGTGGATATATGTCGAACAATATAGTCACGACAACTTTTGAATATTCATAAAATGTTCTTAAGTATCAATTTATAAAACAAGCCGAGACCGTATGTGTCATATAAAGTTCGAATACTTTGAAATAAGTTTGTGTTGGTGATTCGTTTCGGTCAAGATATTTAATTTTTACGACATTTTTTAACAGAATGCTGTGATCCTCCTTAAATTTATTTGAAAAAATTGACTTTCATATTTCTAATTGAAACTTTATATATTCAAATAGATGATTATAAGAAAAGTATTATTTTTTCACATCAGTAATATTACAAAATATATCGTATTCTTATTATAGGACAGGAACAACTAAGAATTTCGAAATCTTTAGAATAAATTACTATTAGTGAAGACGTTCTCTGTATAAAGTTTGAAGTACGAACTCGATAAATGATTTTGCAAATAAATCTAAGGAGGCCATGGTTTCCTAAAAAAATACAGTAAAAATTAAACATATCGATAGATGTCTGAGAAAACTTCCTCGTACCTTGAAAATAATGCACAGCACAGTCATTTGGGCTGTTGACGTACTCACACTTTCGAGTTTATCTAGTGCGTAATTTTCCTACAGTGAAAATTTAATTTAATTTATATAGATATGGAATTTAATGCCGCAAGGAATAAAAATATTCGAAATGCTTATAAATAAAATAAAAGAAGAATCATTACGTATTTATTTATTTACTAATGCTACGATATTCGATTCTATTTCAATACCAAGCTTAGCTGATATATTTGAATTATCAATTAAACAAGTGTATGAAATTATTTGTAAGATGATTATCAATGAAGAATTGATGGTATTTGAACTTTTTATTTTTGTTAATAAATATAAGAAAATTAACTCGTGTTTTTGTTTAGGCTTCAATAGAAGATTTAAATCAAATTGTTATTCTAAATCAAAACAGATCGTCACAAATACAAATTCTTTCAGCTGAATTAATGGAAAAAATCTTTCAACTATATGAACAAAATCAAAAGTTGAATCATTTTTATTCACGATCAAGTCGACAACTTTTAAAATAGACTATATTTTATGAATAATATTTGATTGTGAATTTTTTTTTTGGTACTTCTTTACTTTAATCACAGTACAGAACGAGAAAAAAAATGATAGGCCGAAATGTCACCATACAATATATTATTCTATTCACATAGAACACGAAAAAAAGAAATGATAAATAGATGGCAGTCGAAGACGACAGTAGCGAATGATTAAAAAAAAGATAATTGATAGATATTGTATCTAGTTCGACTGCCATCTATTTGTCATTTCTTTTTTTCGTGTTCTCTATGAATAAAATAATATATTGTATGGTGACATTTCGACCTATCATTTTTTTTCTCGTTCTGTACTGTGATTAAAGTAAAGAAGTACCTTTTTTTTTTTTAAATAAATTTTCTTATTTTGTTTATTTTTGACTAATTTATGATTGTTGATTAAGATAAAAACAAAAAGTTTTTGTTTAGATGATAATTCATAGTAGATAAATTATGTTTCGATTAGCTCAGTATGCACTTAGAGGATCGCATCATGCGATTAAAAGACCATTTTTATATTCAAGTAAGATTGAAATTCTATAAAAATTATTTGTTTCATTTTGTTGCTTTTTTCCCCTTATATTTCTAAAGATATTCGAATGTATCTGTCAGATGCTTATCAAGCATTTGATAAATGGGATGAATCATTATCAAGTGAAATTCTACAAAAAACAAATATTAGTATGTATAAAGCAGATTGTCGATAAAATAAAATAAAGTTCGATTTTTTTTTCTTCTTTTGTAAAGGTGAACTTTTGATTGATGTTGAAGATAAATTAATCAGAAAGAAATTTGTTAGTTCACTCGATATTGAAATTGTAAGTATTCATGTATATGAATAGAACACGACAGGTCGAAGATTTTTGGATTCGGACCGTACTTTTAATTCCAACGAAATGTTTGTAGTCTAGATCTGATAATAATTTCAAACATACGTGATATATTTTATCGATTATTTTTATTCTAATATGCATATACTCTACATATTTCTCACATAAATCTTAGAATAATCAAGTCATTATTGGCTGTTATTTTTAGAATGTAATCCATGGGTAGAGCCTCTATGGGTTGATCTCGGACTAGGATATTTTCACTTTTTCAAATTGCTGTAGGTATATATTAAAAGTATAGGAATGAAAACCGATTTGATCTTAATCGAGCAATTTATTGTACTAAGAGAATGTGTTTTTGCTGAAAATTCATCTAAAGATGATGAGGAACCTTAGGACAAAGTAATTGAATATATCAGAAGGAACACATACGTAGCAAAATTGATAGAATTTTAGAAACAGAAAGATACCAAGTGAATCCTAAACTCTTTTTTTTGTAGCTGCTTATGAAAGAAGCTAAATAGTAGACTTTTTTTAATATAAAGTAAAAGGTTGAAAACTGTACTACGACTATGAAAATATTTGTTGGATGTCGATTAGTTTTGGTTCGGATCCAGATGCAAAAAATCGTACCTGTACAAGACACTAGTCCCAGATTAATCAATAGAAAATTTCCAGATCTGAGTGCGACTATGTCCGAGCCATGAACTAATTCAATGAGCTCTGTATATGAATATATCTGTTTCCTAATTAAAATTTTTTTAGCTTGCAGCAAAACTGACTCATGTTGAAACGACTGAAGATCTTAAACTGACAGAAACAATTTTAGAAAAGTAAGAATATATATATATTGTTTTATGTTTGTTTGAATTTGTTTTTGGTGTATTCTTAAGATTTCGTCGTACACCGGACGCTCTTGAATTTCAACCATCATTAGCTTATTCATTTGTTCGTAATTATCTAGATCTTGGTCAAAAAGAACGTTTATTACCTATTTTACAAGACAAAGTTAATAAAAATTTTAAAAGATTATTCATTAGGTTTAACATTTACTTGTAGGTTAAATATGGAATTTTTCTTGATCGATTTTCAGCTAATCTTTTGTTAAATGCATTTTTACTTGAAAAAAAATACAAAGGTAAAGATAAACTTTTGTTTTTTTGTTATTATTATTTAGAAGTAATTATTTAAAAAAATTCTAAAATAGAAGCTGCACAAGTTTGTACAGATCTGATGTTACAAGATGAAGGCGATGATCAATTGACGCGTGCACTTGGTTTAAATGCATGTTATAATTATTATTTAATAGCAGCTGATGAAGATTTTAAAACTACAGAAACAGAAGAAGAAGATGAAGATATTGTATGTTAATTGCTCAATATCTTATTATTTTGTTTTTTTTTTAATTTTGTTTTAGGTTAAAGTAAAAGTTCATTTTGTTCGTAATTATACAAATGATGATCATTTTGATTTGACTGATAAACGTAAATTACTTGGTAAAACAATGGCTTATTTAAGTCGAGATGCAAATAATAGTAGTATTATTTCATTACAAGTAAAATTTTTAAATTATTTTTCAAAATTTTATTTTCAAAGATTTTCTTTTTAGATTTTGGGAAATATTCTTTATAAAAAATTTGGTCGTATATGTGATACACTTCAAACAATATTAGATAATGATCAATTACAACTTGATGAAACAATTGTAAATGAAAATTTTGTTTTTCTATTCTTAATTATTTACTTTTTGTTTTATCATTAATTTAGGTAAAAATTTTAGAAAAAGAACTTGATGAATATGTTTATAATCCAAATGAAGCAAAAGAACGTTTACCTCAAAGTCCGTATCGACGTTTAGAATTAATACCTGAAGCTACACGTGATATTATTAAAGTATAGAGAAACAACAAATATATTTGAATGAAATAAATCAAACAATTTTATTACTTTTTTTTTTGTAGGAAAAACTTTTACCTCAACTTCGTGAAAAAAATAAAATTGTTTCATTAAATCTTAAAGAATTCGTTGAAAAAAATCTTATTGAAACAGCTGCACATGCTGATAAATATGATACAACTAAACATGAACAACAAATATCAATTTGGACACGTGAAAGACAAGAACAACTTGATGATCAAATTCATCGTTTTGTTATTGAACAAAAAAAACTTAATTTAATCGAACGTCTTCGTTTATTAGAAGAACGTGATGAATTATTAAATTTTTTTGAAAATGAATCAAGAATTATAATGCATTCACAAGATAAAGCATTTGTTGATGAAAGTTTTGAAAATATTCGTACACAAGGTGAACATGAATATTTTGAATTAGCTCGTCAACATTATCATTGGAATAGAATGGAACCACGTCGTTCATTACATCTTGATAAAAAATTACGTGATGAAGAAATGAGTGATGTTAGAAATTGGCCACCATATACATATCTTGCTGAAAATTGGAAATATGGTCTTGTTGATTATGTTCCATTAAATGAAAAAATGAAACGTCGAAAAGAAGATTTACCTCCAAGTGGAAAACCTCCTTATTACAAACAACACTTTTTCTAATAGATCAATTCTGTTGGTTTTTTCTTTTCCAGTTGTTGTTGTTGTTTTTTTTGGTAGAGAAAATAAAAAGAAAACATCGTGATTTATTGGCACATTATTTCATCTCCCTCATTAGAATAGTATTGTTCTCAGTGGCTAGTACAAATACTTCGAAACCTAAACATCGTATGAGAATGTTGAATAGTCACAATTTTATCAATTGCATTGTACTTGGTATAAAACAAAAATATCTTGAAAATTTTGCTTCTTTATAAAGTTTTTAAATTCTAACAAATATCTTTTACATTATATGAAATTTTATTCAATAATTGTCTCTTATTACATGAATAGTTCAACTTCTGTCAGTTTTACCAGATTACAGAGAAAAATTTCGAGTCTTTTTTTTATCCCAGTAGAATTTTTCTTTCGATTAACTAAACTCAATATTAGAGTCTGTCAGGTTGGTCCTGTCTCAGGACCTATCTAACAGATTATAATCGAAAAGTAAGAACCAATTATAATTTGATTATTACAAGGCCCTCGTCAAAATTGTCTAAGAAATGTATAAGGTGCGTTAGTCGCAGAATATAAAATAATGGATAAAATGTATCTTGCATCTTCCGAACGACTATCAAATTCAGATTAAAAGATTTCATCTGGAAATACTAGCACAGTTTGGGTCCAAAAACTCTCAACCCAACGGGTTCTAAGGGTGTGGGTGTGGGTGGACGTGAGTGTGAGGGTGTGGGTAAGCTGGAAGAGAAGACCCACCCATGCCTCACGCACACACACACTCATATCGACACTCACACCAATACCCACACTACACCCGCACCTTACACCCATATCACAAGTAACATCCATATCTTTTTTTCTTTTGAAAGAAAATTATTGCAATACAGACTCTCGTCACCGACAAAAATAGATTAGTACATTTTGTCAACTTTATGGATTTTGATTACATGATGACTTTTTCGTTTTACGATGAAATGCATTGTGCGCTTAGTAGTTTTTTCTTTCGTCGAATGTATATCTTTTTATGATGACGTACTCTAGAGAATGGTTGTTGCTTTTCTTATCGATGCAGTTTTGAAGTGGGTGTCTTTTTCTTGAGATAGTCAGTATCAGCTCATTCCGATGAGTCGATAGACGTAAAACAACTTTTCCCCAGAAAAGATTATACCAATCTGTGAAGCTGGTCCTCTTCTATTCGCAACGAGAATAGCAAAGACGGAATAAACTCCTGGGTGAATCCGGGGTAGAAATACTTTTGAGGGTAATTGGATCCCATGGAGACAAATCGATTTTTATGGCGATTAGTTTTAGCTATGGAAAATCTTGTTATACCAATCGATAGAGCTCGTCGAGTTGTACTTACAATAAGAATAGGATATTTGAAACAAGCTCTTAGACTAATCTAGGGTGGAAATACACGAATCTAGTAATATCTTCACATACGTGCTAAAGATTGTATTTTGCACAGACAAGAAGCAAAGGCAAGTTCCTTTTTCAGAAAAATACGCAAAATCCTTCCGTGCTCACTTTTAGTTTTGATTTTTTTCATAGAAACATTGCTAGTCAATAGTACACATCAAAACATACTGCTTGAATATAATGAATTTTCGTGATCGACTTATTCATAAAGTTAATAGAAGACATAAACAGCTTTCTGCTCCAGTTTGGTCGTATTTTCGACACCAGCAGTTAAATAATCGCCGTCGAGAGAGTAGTTTATCAATTCTGCTATTTCCTGCATGGATGATCATGTTCTTCATCGCTCTGGTTATCGATTTATGTATATATGTCACTGTTGTTTTCTGGTTTATGTTTGCTTTAATTCTATTAACAACTTGCTTCATTCTTCTTATACTTTACATTTTATCGATTCTTTTTTTGCAAAAGTCAATATTTAATAAATGATGAAGTAATTATATGCGAAGAAAAATAAACCAACTCTTCGACTTGATTCGCAGAAATATAACAGACAGAATGGGCATAGCCTTACGAACTAGTCAGATACTGAAACATATATGACGAATTGCAAGTAGGATTTTAGGAAAGCGATAATTCACCGATACGAGCCGTTGGCAACGAGAAATGGGCGCTACTACTATTAGTTGCAATGTGGGGTTGGCTGAATATTTGACAGAAGAGTGCGATTCCTAAGTAATTTTTCATAAATCTTACTTTTAAGGCATGTGATTCAATTAAATACAGAGTATGGGTATGAGTTTCTAAGTGTACATTCGCTTTTAACCTACAACCATAGCTGGTCTAGTGGTGTCCTTTCTTAAAAATCAAACGCTAAAAATCAACGAAATCATTAATGGTTGATGTACCTACAAACTGATTAATTTTCTACTGGTGATAGTAAATGACTTCCAGCGTGACACAGAATTCATATCTTAGAAGTCGAAATCTCGTTATTGAGCACTGGAATGCTGAATCGCTGTAGGATATTTCCTGGAGATTAGCTTTGAATTTATTAATAATTATTTTGATATTATTGCAGAGACTTTCCTCGATACATATTAATGGTGATCATATTTGTGAAAATCAATGAAGTCATTGATAGCTGCTCGGATACATAGTTGTACAAGTCATAATCGTCGAGAATAGTGCATAATAGTGAGTGGATCGTTGTTGAGAATAGGTCTCGTTTATATAGGAGCGCTAATAGTGTTTATTTTACGTTATTATTTTGAAGTAAAAGATTGAATCGAAAGTTTATGGCATAACGCATAATATGAGCTGTATCACGTGATAATTTCATAAATAGATTTTCGTTAGTTTCAATAGCAGGTAAAAAGCAGTGTTGTTAAGCTTTTTCACGTTGGTTAAAAGTGAATCTTACTTGATGTCATAAATTCAAATATTACCTTTCAAAAAATTCTTGAAAGAAGAATGGATTGATATTTTACAAACATAGTCTTTAAAAAAGGGCAATGTTTATTAATGAAGTAGTCTGATTGCTAATAGATACAAGAACAAATGTGAGCTCTTCTCATTCATAAGAAAGCTTTTTTTTATTTGAAAGATTTTCATTATTAGTAACGCAAAATAGAAAGAATCTATATACAGAAAGTCAATACATTCCATCTCTACATGCTACTCAATGTGTTTCACATCCATTGCATATATGATCGATTGGTATAGAATAATACGTCACAATAAATTATGTAATCAGTACTTCGACTTCATGTTTTCCTTAAACAATTTGTACACTAGCTGTGTATCATTGTCGTTCATAGTAAGAGCAATCTTAGACCAAGAACCTGCGTCCAATAGAATATAGTATTCACGAGAGTTACGATGAAAATCAGCATGCCACCAAATAGGTGATAATACCGTACCCCACATTTTAATGTCAAAAAAGCCTAGATCTTCTATTGATAATAAATCACACGAACGAATTTCGTTGTATTTGATAGTTTTACTACCGATCGGAAAGTAATACATGTGAATAACAAGACGATTGGAATAACAGGTGACATGATTATTCGAGAGACTGATAATATCCAGATCGACAAGAATTTCTTTATTTATCGTTATTTTGGTGATATAAGTACAAAAAATAATAAAATAGATCGATAGAGAAAGAATGAGAAACGAACACATGTCTCTTGTAAGCAACTATGAATGATGCTGTATGGCAAAATTAATATTCATCTATCAATTTTTCTGCTTTCTGTATTATATCAAACGTGTAATTGGCATTTTTTTAGCAAATCGTAGGGTGAAACTTATGCATTTTGTTGCAGAAAGGTTCAAATGATATTTTCTTGAAATCTGTATCGGCTTTGTGTGTGTCGATGTCTGTGCCATTGTGCATGATATTTTACTATTCTACTTTAAAATAGTAGATTGTCGAATGACATCGAGTTCATTTGAAGTCAATCATTTTTTGGTCTACCTGCTAGTGACATCTGAAACAGATCGATAAAGAAAAATATACAATGATTTTTTTTTATAAATAGACAGATAATCTATTCCGATTGCCTATTAAGAGACGTTCCATTCACAACAAACCTAAGATTTTACGATAATCGAAAAGCATGTACACAATCAGATTTCGAATTTCACCTCGTAGGAAGTCTTTGCCTGCTTTTAAGTTGATATATAACTTGCTATACAAACAAAACTAGGTGACAGGTTTATGAGAATGACTTTATCCACAACTAGTTGGACGCTCAGTTTTAATATTTTGAAAAAAAAAAGAGTTTTCTTTCTGATTATGTTATAGATCATTTGACGAAGCTAATCAAATTTCTTCAAATGATCTATTTCAGTTTAATCAGTTCTATTTTGAATCAGAAGCATTTATGCCAAGTCTGACCAAAATCTTTCAGTATAATTTTTGTTTTCATTATTGAATCCATAATCGAATCTTATTCGGAAGTGATTTAACTCTCGATATTGTACATGTAGATGGTAATTGCCGTTGCAACCATTTGATGTGCATGTCTTCTTCTAGTGGAAACTGTTCATAATCAAGTTTCATCTTCCATGGATCATCTCGAGAGAAAACTGTTAAAGCACGTAGATTTTTCATGCTATTCACAAGACAAAGTATAGCTGTTCGATTTTCTACCGCTATTGTAAGAACTTCGCATTGGAGACCCAGTGATGTGTGACTGAATGTAGTACAATATTGTTCATTCCAACATGCGTGAGGAGAATGAAGATCAAGTTGACGAATCGATTTACTTGTGAATTCGTCGAATAACGAAAGTGGATTGCGGTCTGTACGTAATTGTAAACTATAGAGAAGTGGTGATCTATCAATCAATACTTGCACTTGATATTTGAAAGCAAAATCGTATAAATATACAAAAAATGAAGTCAATAGATCTGTTCGTATGTTAGGGCAAAGATTCTCTTGATATATTGGTAGATATTCAAGATAACGAATGTTTCGAAAATAAAGAAAAGGCAAAGCTGTAGATGAATCTGAATTGTAATGTAGATGTTTCACACAATCATATGAATCATAGTCGTCATCCTGTGCGTAAGTCGATTTGTATTCCATATTGGCGTAAAGAGTGAACGACGAAAGTCCGTATGGTAGAGTGTAAAGACACCATGATTTGCATTCCTGTTTTCGACTCCAGTGACATCGAACAAACCATTGATGTTTATGGATCCAAAAGTGAGTTCTAAATGAATCAAGAATTTCATCAACTTTTTCTTCAGCTCTACTATTTTCACTAATTGCAAACAGCATACTCGTTTGAAATATCTTGAGTTTCGGCAAATAATCGGTTATCCATTGTTCCCATTTATATCCATTTATATAACTACGAGCTGTCAAAATTGTAAGATGAGACAAGTTCTGCATCGACTCCAAAATGTTTTTTAGTCCGTTTGTTTTAGATTGAAAGAACAAATGTAATCTATCTATCGATGGCATAATGAATGATAGCGGTTTTGTAAGATAAGAATCTGCAGGACTTATCGAAAGACGTTGAAGGCAAGGTGTAAAGTGTAGAAGTAAATCCAAGGAAGCTACTTGTATTGTTTCATTTTGAATGGAGAGTTTACGGAGAGATGGCATTATGTGTGTTGGTGAAATAGCTGACTTGACATTCAAATGAGATGTCAGTTTCAAATGAGTCAGTTTAGATAGACGCCAAATATGATTACAGTACGAAGATTGAAAATTACAAGAAATCATACGAAGATCTTGGAGATGATACAAGTAACGTATTCCATTCATCATTTCGTCCATTATTTGTTCAGAATAGATGTGTGATAATGTCAGTGATTGTAAATTCATGAATTGATCAAGACTTAATTTATAGGAAAGAAAGCAAGTTGTTTGTTGTGGGGTTGCATCGTCATCAGACAGATGCAATGAAGAAATCCAATCAAAAATTAATCTCAGATGTTGTTGACAAATTATAGTGAAATCTGTTTTTGAAGTAGATCGACAGTCAAGAGTGTTCGATCGAAAATGAATGACGAGAAGATTGTTGAAACGAGAATTAAGACCATGAAACGCACGGATAAGATGAACACTGTTAACAAACTCGAATGAGTAAAGTAATAATTCATTAGGTAACGATTCCAATTCCATCTTTAACTCTTCATTCGAACAAATGTATTGCAGATGAAATTTCTTTTTTTTATTTCATCATTTGCCATCAAATATATACGACTTCGCTTTTTTTGCCTCTCTCTTGTGCTGTTTGCCTTTCTTATCCAATGTAATCGTATGTGTTTCAAATGCAAGTAGCTATTTATAAAAGAAAGAAGACGGTAGTTTTGTATGAATCATTGAGTAGTTACTTGTGATGAAATGCATAGAAAAGGTGAAACAAAAATACACCAAAAAACGTTTGCGCAAGATTTCATCAAATATATGTGTTCTTCGAATTGATTCACTCAACAGAAATAGCATGGTTCACATGACAGTATAGCGTAACAAATAGTGAGATCCATGAGTCTTCATCTATTGGTAACACCAATAGACGAGTCAAAATTACGAGTGGTTAAAACGAAGATTCTCTAGTATTTTGACTCTGGTCATATGGAACCTTGCCGTCCTAAAATATTTTTATATTTTCAGAAAGTACTTGAAATTTTGTATCATTTAAGGTATTATTTCATTAGACCAAAACACCAGCGAAAATAGTTAGTCCATACGACAAATGTTGATAAGTGATTTCTATCTGTAACCACTCTGAGCCATAATCGGAATACTACATATTTTATTGGTAAATCTAAATTTGGCTGAAAGTAAAAATGTCAGAACTAGAGGATCTACTTATCGCATCATCCACATATTTTGTGGCGCTTCTAGTTTAGACATTTTTACTTTCGGCGTTTTTCCAGATAACCAATATTTTACCTCATTTGAAATCACTTGACTCTTACCATCAAAAGTATCTATTTAGATGTTTTTTATTTTTTTCTATTTCTGAGAAAAGCAAATTTTTGTTGATATTTGTGACAAAGGCATGCAAGACTGTTAAAATTAGACTTAGAGTCAATACTTCTTATCATCATAACCTTTTCATGACATCTAAATGAATAATATATTCAGAGTCAGCATAAACAACTACGGCGAATCACATATATTGTGGCGAAATTATTTTTTTATGTAAAACTGACTCCGGGTGTGGGTGGGTGTGGTTATTGCATTTCTCCACATCTACACCCACATTCACACCCGTTTCTCTGATTGGCTTTGTCGAAAAGAAAATTTCTTCTTTAAATTCAAACTTACAGAGAAAGAAGTCAACATCATTGCTGACACCCTACCGATAGAAACACAACCAACTTTCTTTTTGAATAGAATCAAAATAGACAATCATGATCCTGATAAGCTCATATAAAATTGAAAGTTCTTATTACTGCATCAACTGCAATGACTATCATGAAATGAACACACTATTTTTTCGAGATTGGAGTCTCCAGTTTATAGCTTACTCAAGCCTTAGATACAGTGTCAAATAGTGTATATTGAATATGAAAAACATTGTGGTTTAAGCACTTGGTAAGATCTTGTTTGATGAGAAATTCAGCTTGGTGTGCAATGCGAACGTGTATTACAGTAGACGTTTTTAGTATTTGCATTGCAATCAAAACATTTTCTTGCAAGCCGACGTTGTAGAGAAAGAAAAAAGAAAAGAGAAAAAGGTGCACCAATGGAAGAAGAACAGAAAAAAACATTAGTCGTGCGTTTGATTCTTTTCTTTGTCGTTAACTCATTCTCGGCGAACACATGCATCTAACCGTCTGATGGCGACTATTCTTTGTCAACAAAAAGGGTTCGATCAAATAATAGCTACTAGTGTGAAATCATGGCCATTGATTCGAATATATGTCAGCAAATTCTTTGTAAACTCATGATATCAAAGTGGGATCGGTAGCGACAAGAATAGTGCCTGTATACAAGCCTCTGGTATGAGTACATTGTACTGAGAAGCACATTTCAATTACTACAGTCATAGTACGAATTCATTATTTTTTTTACGAATGACTGTCATTTACCAAACGACGTTATTATATGAAAATGGAAGAACCGTCATTTTACACATTCTGCGGGTCTTGGATATTATTCAGCAATCACACAAGTGACTCATGACAATATGTGAAAGTCAGAAGATACCTTACATGTTTCATTATGTATTATTCGTATACTGATCGACAGTCTACAATGTATGCTATTTCAACGTGTACTATACCTTTCATTTACCATAAGTTTCACATCTCGTTTTATATATCAACAAGTGATTAATATCCAGTTGATTTTGATCAGGTTTGTCGCGATTGCATTCGATCGTGTACAATCGAGTTTTGATTGCATAGTTCACAAGTAGTAGTTTTAGCTTACATATGCGGTTTTGTTATCGGTGTTCAGTATTATATATATATATATTCTACAGCATGAATTGAGAATTGTATTCGCTAAGCTCGTTCATTTTTTCTTTGCAACATTGAGCGATCACTCGATATGAAAGAACTGTTTTTTCTTTCACCATTTTATTGTGGTCTCGTTTTTTTCTGAATGAAGTAGTCACTGCATGAAATCTTCAACATAATGGGTCATTTCAAAAAACAATTCTTTGTTTTCCTTATATCTTGGCAAAACATGCCTATCTTGTTTTAGTTTTTCAAAATGTTTTACGTCGAGAAGTATCAAATAGCAATGTAAAGAAAATAAAAATATATCAAAGATGGAAGAAAAAAATACGAAGAATGGGAAGAAATCTTTCATTTTTTCTTACATAACTCTTCATGATGACTCACCTATGTTTGCTAATGAATTTCAGATTTGATGAACTCGTCAAGCACTTATCAACGAAAGCGAGCGTTCGTTATTGGTATTAATGATTACTTGTCCAATCCACTAAAACACTGCATCCATGACGCCGTAGTTTTCAAGCAAGCTCTCGAAAGTATTGAATTCGATGTAACGCTAAGAACTAACGTTAACCTCAATGATTTCCGCCAGTACTTTAAAGAATTTGTTAAAGGAACTGGGGTTGCTGATTTGATATTATTCTATTTTGCTGGTCATGCGAAAACATACGAGCATGAAAATTGCTTACTATTATCGGACCAAGATTATGATCCATGTAAAAGTGAAGGCGAACACATGACGGACAACGCTATTCCAATTGAAAGTATTATGAAACCATTAGCTGCCAAAACTGATTATGTTACAATATTCATATTTGATTGCTGCAGAAAGTACATGGGTTCTGGAAGAGTCAATACTCAGCAAGGTCTATTATCCATGAGAGCCTTGCCGAAATCATTGATAGCCTATTCATACTGTCCGGGCGCAATGACACGTAGTGGAACAGGAGTTAGTAATAACCGTTATTTTATGGAAAATTTGTTAAAACACATTACAAAGCGTAATGCTGACATTGAAGATGTGTTGAAAAAAGTAGCGCGTGACATCTCTAGTCAAACCAGTGGTTTGAAACAATTGTATCACAACAGCCGTCTTCAGGGGAAAGTCTTCTTGGTGACAACTAATAATCAAGGTGAGAACTTGCCATTATTATTTCTTCTCTAAGTAAATCGAAACTTGGTGCTGAATTCGCGTTTTCTACCTGTAGTCTGAAAAAAAAACAAAGTTTTCTCGACCCTTGCGGCAACTATTCATTGCCGAGAGTCAACGATTTAATAACTAGAATGATCACAGTTTAGTTCAAAGTTAGGTTTACTTCATTGCTTAATAACGAAGTTTAACTTAAACAATGATATTTTTGTTGAGTTCCAAAGATAGCATTGATCTGTCGTTCTGCAAAATTTCAAAGTGAACATTTGAGTTTTTCTTTTTCTTTTATTTTGCATAAAACAAGCAATTCTTTTAAAGGCCAAAATACTGTTCGTGATTAAATTTTTTTGCATGGCAAAAGCAAATTATTTCTCATCTCATTTTTCTTGACCAAAGACAAATATAACAAATTAGTATGGTTTTTGCTAGGTTCAATTGACCAATCTGTGGATGAACTTCGATCGACTCATACACCGCTTCATCGCAATGTATCTGGCCAGATTCGAGGGAAAGAACAATCTCAAAATCGGCAAGAAGACTTAGACCGACCGACCAGCGCAGATATTGTCGAGAAGAGTTCCTCAGCTCGGTCCTTGATGCATCATCAACCAAAACTAGCGGCTTCTGTAAGCATAGGTAATCCAGCTTGTGAATCGCGAGATCAAGAACGTACTTCCCGAAGAATGAACAGAGTTGCTGGATCTGCCACGGTACCAGACAAAGATGATATCGTTGCAGCAAGATTACGAGGAGCACGTTCGAGTGGTCCTGACGCTTCATTGCATTCATCTGATACAGATAATCTACCAGCTCAAATAAGAACACCCAAGTCATATGCAAGTGAAATATTTGGTGTTGATAGATCCACTTCAGAAGAGTTAAGAACTTTATTGAAATACCTCAGACGTCAACTTCCACCGATGGATAAACAAGGTCCAATGAGTGGCAAATGCATTCCTGAGACTGATCAGATGGAAGACTTTCTTAAACGAAATTTCGGTTTCTATAATAATGGTCAATACATTGTATCTGGTGTACGAGCATTCGAACTGCGCAAACCCCTCTCGAAAATGGAGTCCAATGCAAGAATTTATTTTCCCCACGAGCATCGCGGTTCATTTACCATGACTGTATCGGAAATCAGGAGGTGGCAAAATTCCTTTGCTGTCTATGCTGATAAAAGTATCTCGGGGACGGACAAAGTCTTTCTTTATAAAGCTCTTCAGGGAAAGAGTAAGGATGGTGACGAAGCTTTTCGCATGAAATTCGTCGTGCGAATTTCTGATTGTCCTATTTTGATGAAATTCGATGCAAAGATATTACCCCGTTCACTCGATGAGTACTGGCCAAATAACATCAAACTCGTTTCGGTGACAGGTATTGACTTTGCTGGCCGACAACATGATGCAAAAGATATCACAACCTATATCACCAATTGGGAGAAAGTTTTCGAGCTCGATCGGACCACGGGTATGCCAGCAGTGTTCCATGGAAGAGATTTTCGTCCACTGAAGCGTCATCCACCAGTCGTACTTGACGAACAACGTCTGGTCAATGATCTTATTTGTATGGTGAGAACACGATTACGAGCATGCGACATAGAAGGAGTACAAATCGTAGTTGAGACGGGTATTGGCCTCGGTGTTTTTGCTGGCAAACACATTGGGATCGATGGTCAAGTAAGAATGCTGTCTGCCTATGCCGTTCGATACGTACTTCAAAATGAATGGTCCGTGTACAAAAATATTCGCGCTATTGTGTTTGCTTTACCGATCTTCTCCAGAACTCTTGACGGCCACCAACTTCCGGATACCTATCACGATTTTGTCAACGAATTTCGTGAGAGTAAATATCGTGGACCTATACCTGTCCTTATCGCTGATCAGGATATGCATGAATTGACGATAGCCATTGCTCTTCAGGGCTTTCGAGTTTCTCAACTCAATCCAGCTGATTCACATGGCGTGTTTGGCGAATACTGGCAAAACCATGGGCCAGCAGTCGAAGAGAAGCTTGCTCTGACGACAGTCGGTCTGCTTGTTCAACATCATCTCATAAATCCTTCAGTTCTTGATCACAGTAAATATCACTTTATATGAACTTGAATATTTTCAAATGGTGAATATCAACCTTTCGCACAATGAAGATTTTTTACCATCAGCAAACGAGTTCTTGATGAGACAAACGAACAACGCACTACTGCCATAAACATTCTTATCAGAGAGAAACATCACTTTTTGCAGATAAGCACGCATTTCATGATTTTTAGGGGCGTGGTCCTAGAGATCAGTACAATAAATATGCTACACTAGAGTTTTTTCTTGAAATTCTTTGGTGAGGTGTGCGAACTTATCAAAGACCTCACATGTATTTAACTAAAAATGCATTATTACAACAGGTGAGTTTTACTTTGCTCCCATTGATTTATATTTTAAGTGAGTATTATAGTGTGGGCGTGGGAATCAATGAGAGTGACAAAAAATGTGTGGATGTGAATATGGAAGCTAAACACTGACCCATACCCAATCGCAAAACCTAATCTTTCTGATGAAACATTGTTGTCAATTAAAAATCAGTTTGAATGGCAAAAGCAAGCCCAATACACAATTAACTATCGACAACTTTTCATTTGTACTTTCATTGCACAAACCAAGTGATCATTGTTTTTTTCTCTTTCGTACTTTTGTGATGTGTTCAGTTGCTCATTAATGTTAACAACGTTTTCTTGCTCCTAAGAAATTTTTGTCATGAATATCCTTGTTATTTTACACGATAGTATGTCAAAAAACAATACTCTCCCGGTAGCGCCACAAATTCTATATGAATCTTTTTGACATATGCTGACAGACCTTCACCTCACTTCATTATAAACCTTTCTGTTTTATTTTGAATGTTGGAAAAAAATGACTAATGACAGCCAACAAAGTGCATCAGTCGTCGATTGTTTATCGCACTTCTTCTGCGAAAAAGAATGAAGGAAAAGTGTGCGGAGCAAGTAACTTTTATTTGGTCTCTAAGGATGATTCATGTGATGCGAAAGAGCACGCGTTACCTATGCCAACAAATAGGAGACGAATCCAACGGTTGTTTGTTAGTCTAGCGTAAACGAGAAAATATTACATTTCAATAAGGAGGGTAAGAAAATCTACAAGTCTCAGCTGATCTTGGAAAACTCCATGGCGTAACCTAGCTTCGGTCCAATTCATATTCGATTGTATTAGATTCAAGCTAGTTGTATCAGCAATCATCTCTCAATTCACATATGAAACGATCGATGTCATAACTTGTGTAGCTCGAGTTCGAACATAAATGAAGCTTGAACTACATAAGATGGCTTCAAAAATAAATAAAATAAAAATTAGACCAGCACTTACTTGTAGTAAAAATATAAAATTGAATCTCAACTATGTCAACAGTGATCGTGATGTTTCTAACACGTTCCTATATACCTACATTAAATAGCTACGTATATAATCCGTTTTCTTAGATACAAGTTGATTCTCCAGAAGGAAATGAATAAGTAACGTGGCGGTACCCACGGTCATGACGCCGATTTGGATGTGTAAGTGTGGGTGAGAAATTTCTCTTTCTCTACAACAACATCTCGCACTGACATGTACAATCTCCTATATAGTGTCACTGAGAGTGCAAGCTGTATTTTGATCTGTTGCTATTTATTGTTCGTTTAATCGGTTTTCAATAATCTGAAAGAATACCTGAGTTTGCAACGACACAATTCAATTCTCGAGAACAAGCCTTAACATTTTTATCTGTTTTCATTTATACTATTCGAAAAGAAAAAGTCTTTCGTCTACTAATTCATATCAAAAGAGAGCTTCATGAGAAACAGCTATTATTGCAGCACAACTCCTATGAAGAGCGGTAGACTCTTTTTTTCGAAAGTATCATGCAAAAAAATCTTCACTCTTTTGAATTGTAAGCCTATTTCTATGTGTGTTTTATCTCAAGTTCTACATGTAGCCATTGAAGTGTAGGTGTGTGAATATTTTTGGATCTTTATCAATACTAGACGATAAGAAGAAGTAAAAGGTGTTGTCCAATCTATTCATGAAGAACGATCACTGAATTGGAACATAAATTATTAAGTAAAAAAGGATGAATCAGGAGCATGTGACGGTTCTAAGATATTTATATAAAGCATCAAATAAGCGAAAAGTATGGACTCATTATGAAATAATCATTTATGTGATTTTGGCAGACAATATGATAATTGTAGATTTCACAATGTCGTATATGAGGTAATCTAATCTAGTTTAATGAAAAAAGAATATAAAATTTTAAGATTACATTTACAGTTGTAAATTTTATAAACTGTTTTTTTTATGAAATCAGAAGCTATTTGTCTTTGGTAGCTATTATAGTACTGAAATGTGCTAGTATTGGATGTTGGCATGTATGTACCACGCTCCGTTCTGTTGGATAGTGATATTCAAGATCTTTAATTAGCTTTTGACAGAATGGATCTTGTGTAGATACACTGGCCTTGATAAGCACATGATTGACATGAAGAAGATGATTTGAAGAATGAGAACCTCGTAATAAATTGAAGGAAACTGGACTTGTTGATATTGTGCGATCAGTATTCGGATCCATGTAGATAACAGTCACATCACTTATTCAGAAAGAAAAAAATTAAACACTGATAATAATGTTCTATTCAAAAAAATCAAAAAGCTCCTAATCATTTTTACCAATGATTTGATTTTCATATAGTTGTATTTCTTCTGAAGATTGAGTCAATGACATAAGTTGTTGACTAGTTATGTCTACATTTTGTTCATTGCTGTCCATTTTAGGTACATATACTTGAAAAACAAAATTTCGCTTTTCTTCAGCATTCAAATCATGTAACTTGACATTGAGTTTTGTCGAGAGCAGTTAGCCAGGCGCATATTTATATTTCGAATGAACATAAGTGAGCTTATAGTCTCCAGTAAATTTAATATTGGCATGAACTTGTTGTGCAACACATGTGAATAGACCACGTAGAGTCATCGCAAATGCAGGATCTATTGCTTGTTGTTCTTCCTGTTAAAAAGATTCATCAACACATTATTAATCATGATAGTTTGAAAATCGGATAGCCAAACTCAACTCACAATATAAGTGAATGTGCCACCATTGCCTTGTTCAGCTAGTCGCACTAGTAATGAGGCCGTATGATCGGATTCGTAACCGAATATGTGAGATTGAACACCACTGAGCAAAATTTGCATTAGTTCCATGTAGACATGACTGTCGTTGTCCTGCCCGTCGGTGAGAAAGAATAAAGCATTCAACAGACTTTTTGTATTTGACGATTAGTAAGCAGATTGATGCTCATGTCCAAGCCCTTTCCGATATAAGTATCACCTCTACTGATAATATTAGTATTGATCGCATCATTCAAGATTTACTAGCTAAAAATTTGTAGAAAAAAAATCATATGATTCCATTCGTATTTTAGAAAAAGCATCTGACAAGGGGAATTTTCTCAGATGTGTTTGTCGAATTTTAATTAAAGTATGATCATCTCAAAGACTAAATAAATGCAAACGTAACTGCTTCGATGAAAAGTTATGGTCAATTTTTTCCGAATATTTCACATTAATGCATTTTGATACACTACCGATGTTTCGTAAAACTTTCTTGTTTTCTCGAGCATTCAGTTATCGACCGTTTTATGCAGAAAGAATAAATGCAAAAGATTTTTGCTCTTGTATTTTTTTCCAGAATGCATTCTGAAAAAGAAAAGATCATCTCGCTGCTTTAAGCCTAGGTGATCATACAGTAGGGTGTGGGTGTGGATATGCATGTGGGTGTGGGGTATGGGTGTGGGATGTGTGTGTGGGTGTATCGTTTTCACACGCACACACACCCACACCCACCCCCACCCCCACCCCCACCCACACCCCACATCCACACCCACACCCTTATCGATGTATTAACATGAAGCCAGCGCCGAAGCGTTATTGAATTGAATGAGCAAGTGGCTCACAGAAAAAAAAACTACCACTTTCTCTTCCAGTCATATAATTCTACAGCTTCTCTCGTTCTTTCCTACTATTTCGTTCTGCATGCACATAATTACATTTTTTTTCTCGATCAAGCCATCCGTTGTAATGCTACAGGGCAAGAAATACATTCACTTGCTAGCATGAAATTTTTAACAAAATTTCATGATCTTTCAAAGACTAATAGAGTAAAACATTTGCGCGGCAACGTTTTGATAGAAAAATACATTAGTAGTGAACAAGATACTTCAATTTAAAAAAGGAGCCGATTCAATCGCATTTCTAACAATGATCTGCGAAATAAATATGATGTGGGTGTAGTTGTTGCTTTCTCTTCAACAATACTGTATGTTATGAATAGTGGGTGTGAGGTCTGGGTGTGAGTCTTCTCTTCGTTCATGTCCATACCGGCACACCTATACCCACACCCACACCCCACATCCACACCCAACCCCAACCCCACCCTCAAGAGACTTGATTTCTTTTAAGCTACTTCTAGGGACACATCCACACTAACATCGATTTCAAAATTTTCTACATGAGACTTATAACAACAAACTGAAAGAGTAGCTTTATCGCCACCCTCGGTAATGGTGTTTATGTACTATTCCATATTTCGAAAAGGTAAATATTTCACATACAATACAGGCCTATAGAGAAGAGAGAACACGAGAAAAACATGAGCACCAGACAGAACAACAAAGAAAGAATAAGGAAGAGAAAAAGATGATATGATTAAGAGAGTAATATCATTATCGGCACAAGACTCAAACGTGTGTAGGGAAAGCTAAACCGTCTCTCGCTCTCTCTCTCTAGCTACGTCATTAGAATTCTCCAGCAAACAACTAAATATTGTTTCAGCAATTAATATCAACATTTTATTATTGTATGTAAGTAGTTTACAGTTTAGAACATTAAAGAGAGATAAATCGAAAAAAACAAGTAATTAGCTATGGTCTTTGTCTTAAACACACATCTGTTGCAGATAACAAACAGAAAATTAAAGCCAAAGACGAAATCTTGATATTTCAACATCATTTTGACTATGAGGAAAGCAATTTTGAATCATCAAACGATAAGCTTCAACTTTTTCATAATGAATTTCACCATAAATATCAAGAAAGGTAAATTCTTTTAATTTTTCAATCAACTGACAAAGATCTTGTTCAAAGACATTTACATGTTGAGCTAAAACAAGAGAATTATATTATTTATTTCTTGTATAAAACGATTGTATTTATATGTATATACCAATCGATTCGGGTGTTTCTAGAGATTTGATCCATTGTTGAAGTGGAAACACATTATTGCGACGTATTTCATCATCTGGTCGAACTTAAATGAAGAAAAGACAACAAAATGATATTGATCCGTAAAATAAATGAAAGTTTCAGTAGAAAATAGTTTTCTGTTTTTTTGTTATCGAACAAAATAGATCATTTCAATGCAGTTTTTTTACCTGCATTTGTTTCTATATAAAACAATCGTTTTTTTTTTCATGAAAAAACTTTTATTGCCTAGTTACTTTTTGAATAAAAAGTCGAATCAAGTGTCAACTATTTTATGTATAGTTGTTTAAAAACTCTGAATATTCGGACTACATTTTTAAGAAAAGATGTTGTTATTTCACAACTTATTTTCTTATTTGCTCAATTCAGCAGTGAAAAAACTATGTCACAGGCGAAACTTCCGTTCTTATTATTTTTTCCTAATTATTTTACTTTTTAATCAAAGCATTTTGAAAACATTAAGAATTTGATTGATACTTTCATACGAAAATTTGATTAGTTTCTCTATTTATCTTTTCTAGAGAAAAGCATATAGCAACGTCCTGCTATTTAGGAGAGAAATAGTGTAGACTTACACAATGATAAAAAAGCTTTTGAATCATATTAAATAATTCTTTACGTCAAATTTATATAGATTCCGGCTTAATATTGAAGTAAGATCTATTTGATATGCTTATAAGATTTAATCAAAGATGAGTAAACAACAATTGCAACTATGATTTAAAAGACTATGTGTATTTGTGTCAATATTATATTTTTCTAAACTTAAATTTGATATTAGAGATAGTTAAATGAATAAAATAGAGAAAGATTTCGATAGAAATTTCATAATTGAATTTATTTTGTCTTTGATAAAGATCATCTATTGATTAATATTTTCATAAATAATCAATAATGATCAATAAGATATGAATATCTTTCATCAATTTCAATTAGAAATAGAGAAAATGAATCCGATCAAAAACTATATTTGTTATTTAGAGTTTAAAAATTTCGAAAGTAAAATAAAACTTTTTAAAACATTAAATCTTAATTCTCAAATATGAAGTTTAGGTTACATTATTATAAATCTTGTACAATGCAAAAAGAGAAGATGTCAATAGAATTAATACAAGAGTACTTTTTCATCCAACTTTAACTACATTGGCTTCACCGAGCGTAACGCGATGACGTTTTGGCTACAGTATTTTTAATCTTTCTCAGCAATCGGGGCAATTAAAAGTCTAATTGTTTCGTCAAAAGGTACGTCTCTATGCTCCCCTTCCATCCCCGAAAATCGGAGTTCATTTGGTCTAGCCATTTGAAAATTATAGCAAAAATATATAGCGAAACGCGATGACGAAAAAGGGACAAAAAGTTGAGGGTAGCGTGTTTATTGTTGATCTTCTACGAATGTCTGCCACATTGGAAAAAATGATTCAAAGAAGACTTGTAGCCGACAGTTTGGAGTATCCAACGGAAGAAAAAGATTGCTCAAATATACTATTTATTTACATGAAATTTCGTTTTAATTAACGTAACGCGATGACGAAAATCAAGATTCAGAACACCCTTATTTGGTATCAAGATCTTCTAAGTAGTTACTAAATTTAACAGCATCGCTTCTTGCTAGAAGAAACAAATCGTTTTTAGTCGCTTTGTACTAGAATACATTATTCAAAAAACGTGATTTTCGAAGTTGGTGGTGTCATAAAAGGTGACGCGTTACACGGTGAAGCTGATATATTATTATAAGAATATCTGTATGATTAATAAAGAGCAGAGTAAAATTAGAAATTAAAAAAAAAAGAAACAAAACTAAGAATAATATTTATCATAGATTAATGAGATATTTAATTGTGATTAGTTTTGTTTGTAAAAAATAAACTTACTAGATGTCCATGGAAAATCATCAGGTCGCCAAAGACGTAATGTTTGTAAATGAGGCATGTATCTGTTAAGAAAAGGCACAAGATGTTTACCAATATGATTTGCTTTGTTGAAACCATAATGACAACTCGTAAGACAAAATTCAGCATATCGAACACTACTTAATGAATTCATTCTTAATTCGTTAGATGCCTAAATAGAAAATAAATAAATCATAATAATCTATCAGAATTGATTCATTAAATTAAATTAAATTAATTATATTAAAATGATTGAAAAACATATTTTAATAATGATCTACATAGAATAATCGTTAAGCAGTTTTTTGCTTTATCTCGTCTATATTTTTGACATTGCTTTCTAACTATTAAAGTGATTGCATTCTACTGGAATAGCAATGTTATTCTAATATAAAGCAATTACGTTAAAGATCTTACTGAACTGATTGGTTTCAGTCACATTGACTATTAAGATCATTTTACATCTCGTGTTTTAAAATCTTTATTGATATTTATTTTGAATTAATATTAGCATTTTCTTTAGTTTCTATCTCTAAATTAGAGATAATTATTATTATTTATTCTTTTTTTCTTCGAAACATAAAATCACTCCATTTGTTTGTTCTTCATTTTCAAATCCTAACAAATAATTTCGTGTAGAAAATAAATGCGCGAAATATTTTTTCTTGTTTTGTCTGTTTTTGTTTCAAAACAGGTATTTTCAGCTCAAATACGAATCAAATAGATTATATTTTTGTATCATGATCAAGTGTTTTGATTCTGACTGTACGTTATCAGTATTTTTTTTCTTCTCGAAACTCTTCCTTTTTTGGCTTATTAATTTAAATGATAGATTCAGCAGTTTTCTTTAGGAATAAATATATATATATATATATATATGAATAATACAACGTTAAAAGGTGACTTTTACTTGAAATAAGTCTGAATTCGACTCTCATTTCAACTATTTTGGTGAATTTGAGAAAACAATAATTATAATTTAATATCAATAATAAAACTATTCTACTAATGTGAGTTTTATTGTAAAATTCTTTTAATTCTTGAATGATATACTTAACTTAAAAAGTGTTAAGAACAAGATATGAAGAATACAAAAATAAATATTTGTAAAAATTTTGGATTGAATTTCAAATTGACTTGGTGTTTTTCTTCAAATGTTATTTAGACATAATCGATCAAATAATATATTTTTTTTACAAACAAACAACGTCATTTGAAAGTTAAAAGACATCTCTACTTAAGAAATGTTTCAAAAAAAATTTCTTCTCAATAGGAAATGAATATTCATCGTTTATTCAGATTGAATAAACATCTGATACAATCCTCTACTATTTATATGTATGTATTGATAACGAGCAAATGATATTCTATAAATCAAAACTACAGTAAAACTTCGCTAATGTGAACACTGTCGGAACCATCCAAAATCGTTCAGTATAACAGGTTGATCACACAAGAGGGGTGTTCACTAGTAGAAGTTTTACTGTATCATGAACATTATAAGATTAGCTATAAAGAAAACAAAGTCGATGACACTCAAAAGATAAACGAAGACAGGTAGACACATGACGAAGATTGAAAGATATGTTCAAATTTTAATATATATTTTCTGTTAAATATTCATTTATTAATAATTTGACACGAAAGATTGACAAGAGTTATGTATTTGCCATTGTAAAAGATAAAAGAAAAGAACAATTCATAATTGTTTTATGTTTGATAAAAAACGTAGCTAGTCGTCACTGAACTTCAATCATTACTACGATTTATGGCTTTGAATTACGACGATAATGTCAATCTCTACGCTCAGCACAGTAATTTCAAACTAGTCGAAGTTAAAGTGATGTTAAATATTTGCTAAGAGAAAGTAAAAACGGAATTTCTAGATCAAAAATTAGATAAGATTCAATAAAAAGTTCTAAACTTGAACATAACTGAACAATTTAATTATACAAAAAGAAAAAAACAGAAGATCATATGCCTTTTCAATATACAATGTAATTAGTCTAAAACTTGTAGCTTCTCAAAAAACGATAATTGAAAAAAAATATCAATTTTCTTTAAATGATGCAAGATTTCATTAGCAAATTGTTTAACTTGAATACATACAAATCAATTATATAAAAAGATCAGAAATAAAAGAAAGCTTACGTATTGAACAACATGTAAGAGCCATTCGAATTGTTCAACTAGAAGATATTTGAGTTGTACACTCATCGAAATGAGATGAGCAAGGATTTTTTCACGTATTTTATTTCGATTTATTGGTTCATCGACACGAGCTAGAAAAAAAATTGCTTATATTATACATTATTTCCATAAGAATATTTGTCAAACAGTGAAACAGATTTATTTTAGTCGATTTTTTTTTCAAACTAAAGATTATTTTCCTAGAATCTATCTTTTAATTCATGCATATTGAAGGAAAAAATGAGATAGACGAATGATTTTCTAATTGATAACTCGTGGAATTAATAATAGAAAGAGAAAAGACAGTAATATTTTTCTAACAAGGTGGCTATATTGCAAAGTTTCAATGGGCTATACGACAATCTCAAATAGGGTACGAGTACGATGCAATTTTTTCATAAATAGGATACAGTGATCGGACACATTATATATAATGAGAGAAGTTATGTCTCTTGTCATTTCTCAACGAAATCATTTAAGATGTTCATTTTCTGAAGAAAGTAACGTTAGAAATAAACGATTTTCGATATAATTCTACTTGAAACACTACTATCGGAGTTTTAAAAAGAAGGCAATTATAGAAGCTTATGACGTTTGAACGAAAAATTGTAGAGATCTGCCGTTTCCACCATACAATTTAATAGAGGACAGCGTTGGACACAAGCCTATCTATCGAAAGTACTGTCCAAAATTTATTTTCTAGGCTAATTTTAGATGTCAATATTAGAGAAAAATTAGCAATGTTTTTTTAGAAAATTTAAATTTTTTTTTCGTTTGTTTTGTAGTCCGAAGCATCTTCTTCAAAATAGTACTAAGTAACTGTGTCTTGCGTGCAGTCGCTTTCCTAAAAAACCTCTTGCGTCTCGAGGAAGTAAAATCTCGAAGTTGCTTTGATACCATTTTGTAGATGTTTCTGACCACAAAACTAGCAAAAGAAAATTTTCAAATGTTCTAGAAAATTCGCTAACTTTTTCCTATTTTTGCCTGCTAAAATTAGCCTTAAAAAGTACCTTAGGAAAACACTCGCCATCAGTGGCGTATCTAGAAGAGAGATAGAGGGGACCGATCCTCCCTGAACAATACAAATATCTGGAAGGGGTACGAGTCGATCAAATTTTTTCAACTGAAAAATAGTTTTTCTACATGATGATTTTTGAATGCGTCACTGCTACTAATATATAGCCTTGTGGCCAATGCTGTCCTTTATTGAATTCTACGGTGAAAACTGCAAGTCATTACGACTTTTCATTCAAAAGCTATAAGCTTTTTTCCAACTACCTTCTTTAATAATTACGATACTACTACTAATAGAACGGATACATTCCAGTGAGATAAACATTAAACATTTCTATTAATTAAGTCATATTTGAAACACATATGTCTTTTTGTTTTTTACTACTTATCGATCGATTTAGACTGGAAATCTTTAAATAGGTAAGGTATTTCGACTTATGTTTACTAGAAATTCCAAAATAAAAGAGCATGACTTTTTATTGTTGACTCAGATTGCTCTTTCATATATGATTTTGCACTGGAGTCGACTAAATTTTTATTGACTTTTACCTGAACACAAAAGATTTTGAAAAAAATTTCTACCATTCGAAAAGGGATTTTTTAATAACTGAGTGCCTTAAAATCTGGATTTTTTACTGAAGAAAACAATTTTTTACTGTATAAAAAGAAAATATTTTTATCATAAAAAATTACTTTTTTTATTTTAAAAATTATTTCTCAGTACTAGAATCTGAAAAAACCTCTTTGACTTTCAGAAAAAAGCTTTCAAAAGGCTGTGGCCTCCTACTACACCTTGGGAACAATTTCTAGAAGATGATTTTTTTAATATGGAATGGCCTTCGATGTAGGGGCTTGGTTTTATTAATGTAACGATGATGTGTCAACGAAGAATTAGATTTAAAGAACAACAAAATAGTGACATTTATACTTTATAGCTATATAAAACCTTCCTTAGCTGTAACAAGAACTTGTTGACAACTTCTATCCATACACTGTTCATTGTATCTAGTGAAGAGAAAACAATGCTGAGATAGGGTACAAAAATTCAAAATGAAATATTGTTAGGAATATGAAAATTTCGGTGAAAACAGTGAAAAAACCGACAGTAATGAACCAACACTGGTTACACTAACTGAACAAATATTGATGTTCACTGCAATGGTGACAGAACTGACATTGATATTCACTGGAATACTAATGCTCACTAATTTTGAACTTTATCAAATAATCCGTTTTACCATTCCTCTGGCAAATGATGATGAAAAAATAAGAGACGTTTTCTGAGAAACATCCTAAATACGACTAAATCACGAATTCAATTACAATTGACTAGGAAGATGTTCCTTGTTGTACTTGTTAATCTATACATACTAATCTCTGTATGTCTAAATCAGTACATCTGAATTTACACGTTCTCATTTTTGTGCTCACAAAATCTGTAAGTCCTGATGTGCACGTCCTAGTTTGTGTGTGCCAATCATTGATTCTTACTGTATATATTCTTTCTACCTTCGCTCCGACATCTGTGAATCCGTATGTATTCCGTAACTGTTTTCTATGCATCTATTTGCTTGTGCAAATTTTCAAATAAGTTTTCCGTAGTTTACTTGCAAATTAACAGTGTCTTATAGCCAAATCTGCTAGTGCTTAATGACCAATTCTAGTCATCGCGATCTCTTCACTTACCAGAGTACTTCATCCAATGAAACCACTCTACTCGTATTCCTTTTGAACCACCATCCTAACCCATATAATACGCTTAGTTTCATCTTTGGCTCTTGCCGTCAGTCAGTTGCTGTGTCTTCTATATTCCTTTTCCTTCTCATCTGCACTCAGGTGCTCTGACTAGTATATCTCTTTTTGTTTTTACCCTCACTGAGTTACTGTGCTATGCATTTGTTTATCCTATTTATCTAAGCATGTCCCCCTCTCTGTGTAATGGCAGCGAGAGGAAACAGCAATAGGTTACCTTTAATTTTTGATTCCAATCACTAAACTCAAAAGGATCGAGAATCTTGGCTTCAACTTACTTAATGTTCACTTTTTTTCTTCTGAAAAGATGAAAAAATTTCTACAAAAGATATAGAAAATCACGTAAAAAACTACTCATAGATTGAAGGTGTAGATTTGGACGTACTGATTGAAACGTACAGAAATTAGGATGTATCGATTTGCACGTACAATAGGGGATATGTTCCTAGTAAATGATGGTTGAATTCGTGATTTAGCCGTATTTAGAATGTCATTCAGAAAAAGTCTTTTATTTTTTTCATCAGCGTTTCCCAGAGAAATGATAAAGCGGATTATATGCTATAATGTTCACTAGATTATATTAGCCTGAAGAAAAAACCTGAAAAACCAATAGGCTGATACGTTGTCATCCAATGAAAATTTTCTGTGCATCCATATATTACGTGCAGATGATGTTATGCTATTCCCTATAAGAATTGTAATCTATGAAAATCAATATAGCTATGTCAATCATTAAGTGAATGTCAGTGTCAATGCAGTCAGGCAATATGGTAAGTGTAGTTGGTGTCGGTATTATTCACTGCTTGGGTGAATACCGATGTTAGTTCAGTCAGTATCGATGTAGCATATGTGTCAAACATTATCAGTGTCAGTGTGACGATGATCAATACAGTGAAAGTGTCATCCCTAGACATCGTATTCCAAAATGGGTTACATATGGCAACCCTGCAGTAGTGTTAAAATATAGAACTTTAATATTCATAACTGAATTTGATATTACTCAACTACTGTTTCCATGAATGGTTTTTCCTTTACTACTACAAAATTTACATTGAAAGAGTCATTATAACTATGAATTATCAGATATGTAATACATAAAATAAAAAATTAACTTTATGCTGATCACTATAAGGAAAATAGGGCTACAAAAAAATTAAAACTATAAAAAAAGGAAAGGTGTAGATATTTGCTGTAAACTATAAATGAAGACTGAGTTCGGTTTATTTGTTTGAGATATTCGAAAAAAAGAAGTAAATTCTTACTAACCATTGTCACGATCAAACCACGTTCCAAATTGAATTTTTGTAACATTTCGAAAAGGCATATCAATTGTCTTGTATTGCTTCATTTTGGATAAGCTATTTAATGACATCAAAAGATCAGAATTGTCAAAATCCTTCCTTTGGTCTATAAAAAGAAGAAATTTTCTTTCCGTTAAATGTTTTTTTTTTTATTAGTTTTCTTCTGCGTTTAGTTGAACGCAAGATAGAGCAGTGTTTATGAGAAATCTTCCTTTTCATCTAATTGTTTCAATGAAATTTTATAGTTTCAATTTTGTGGAACTCACATATATTTTCGAAGAAAATAGTGAGTGGAAGTTTTAAGGTCAAGGTTTTCCGGCTCTCCACTTCCCCTCCCACAGCAGGCAGCTAGGCGACAAATCGATTTTCGAGATTCGAACCCATATCGTAGCTAGCATTGACATTACTATGGTCCTGCATTTAAATGTATCTTGGATGCCGCTCTATAGCGAGTATGCATTAAATAGCAGGTACCACAAAGTACGTAAAATAGGTGAATATCATTAATGGGACTATATAAGTAAAATCTATATTTTTAATTGATGATCTAGTTATATTCTTTAGTTATTATATAGTTATACAGTGTTATGTATTTACTATATATTACAGGCCGTTCGAACTTTTTGAAGTTCTTTAGGCTATAATAAGATTAAAAACTTACCATCAGTAGTGACAAATAGTCACTGATCCATAATGCAGTTCGTTTGCCGAAGTTTAAATTCAAGTTTTTATGTATCATTTGATAGAACACGTCCTCATCTATCTTCAGTGGATGCGCAAAGATGCACCATTGAACCCTTGTCGAGATATTTGATTTTTACGACATTTTTTATCACAGCGTCGTGGTTTCCTCAGGCTCACCTGAAACTTTCAGAATAAACTAGTTTCATTGAGACCTTTCTCTGCACAAAGTTTCAAGTCGAAATTCGAAAGTTGATTTTTCAGGTAAACCTGAGGGGGACTACGGCGTTGTGCGAAAAATTGCCGTAAAAATCAAATATCTCGACAGAAATAAGCTAGAAGCACGAAATTTTTTCAGGGTGTTCATAGCTCATTAGAGCCTACATAATGCACATAATCTCGACTCAAAAGCGATTTGGCACCTGGAAAATGCTCTTGACCCCTTTTTTTCTGTCTACTGTGCTTCCCCGCCCCCCCTCCAACTTCATTACAGACACTTAGCAATGGAGGCTCCCATTACAGACACCCCCGGTTACAGACTTGAGCAAGTAAGAATAACAGGCGTCAGACTTTCTAGTTTTTTTTTGAAAAATTAATCAAGTTATAAATTTGAAAAATAATCAACATCATTGTTTGTGAGCTGATGTAGAAAAGAAATTTCTGTTCGAAATGCAGAAATTAGAAAGATTCTTACTCTAATGTTCGATTATCCCACAAAACAACTATAGTCTATGAGAGATTTCTCATTTTACATATTTTGTATTAGTTTAATGAGGCTAGAGTGAATATGTCAGTTCCACATTTCAGCCTCGAAAGGACTGCGCTAACAAACTTTTTCTCAATAGTTTGTTTTTTCAGATATTAAACACAATGAAATTATGATGAAATAGTGAAGTTAATCACTTATCTATTCGTTCAACTATCGAAAAAATTATTGAAATGACAAAGGAAAATTTACTTTTGTATACATTGATACAAGAAATATTAGGAGATAAATTATTGAATTGTTCGATAAATAAATAAAATGATGGATGTAACTGAAACCAAAGTTTGTCGACATATGGCCAATTAAAAACATATGAATGATTACTAAAAGAAAAGAATATAATTGAATTAAGAAATGATCAGAGTTTTAATAAAAATAAATATCTTACATAAGATAATTCGATAGTTTTAGTGTATTAGAAAAAGAAGAGAAAAGATGTTGGCATGACATTATTGGATCAAATAAACATTTAACATTTGTCCATTGATATGAAATAAAAAAAGAATGAATTTTAAATGAATTAGTTATTTTTTCAATGTCATTCAATGATAATTGACATTGTGAACAAACATAAAAATCAAAATGAATTAAATTAAGTATTTTATCAGGTAAACAATATTGACGAATAAAATTTGCATCAATAACAGATTTCCATACATTTTGACATTCTCTTTCAATTAGTCGATTATTTCGAAGATGAACTTGAAGTTTTTCAACATAGTTCAATTTATTAAGAAGCCATTTCAAATAAATAAATTCTACATCATCGGAAATATAGGTTTTTAAACTAAACCATCGTAGTTTTGGTAGCTAAAAAAGAATTCAATATTATTTTTATTAATCAAATGAAATACTTGTGAGAAATTCATAAAAAGAAGAAAGATTTATTTTCTTACTCTATTGAACCAATTTTCATTTGATGACTTCAACATTTCAGCATTCGATTTATCAAATGAACCGAATTTTAATAAATAATGAAACTCAACTGATAGTTGTTCGAGATTAGGTACATGTTCAATAAGATTTTCAAGAAAACATGTTTGATTAAGTCGAATATATAAATAACGAAGAGTCATACAATACGATTGAAGTTCATGTTGAATAGAATTCAAAGAAACATAAGAGCTTGATTCTAAACATCTATGAATATTCCCATCTCTAAAACCATTGCTAATATCAAGTCGAAAAGATCTTAATTTACATTGAGCAGAGAATATTTTACAAAGAAGTTGTTCAATCATTGTCATTTGCCTTTTGATTTCTTATCAAAGAAAAAAACAAAAAAAGAGAAATTGTCAATTATTATAAAGAAAATCTTATGGAAAAACACACGACCTAATAGGAGTATTCAAGTATATAGGAGTAGACCGTTATAAATATTGCTATGGATACGTCATAAACATCTTAACAAAACTTCATTATATACTGTCACAGATATGGTAAGAGAGCCGAAGTTCACCGCACTATTATTATAAAAGATTATTGAATATATGACTTCTGTCTTTGACCCTTTTTCTCAAACGCCTTCTAATATATACGAATAAAGTCTTTTATTATCGACACTGACTAACAATACAAAACATAAATTGCAGAATTTTCTAATTAACAATATACGCAGATTCATTATCTTTCACATGTTAATCTCACAGGCCCTGCGCTAACAGCGTTGTCTCGAAAAATTTGATTTTAATTTCACATTTAATACCATAAAACTCATATTTACAAGATGTCATTCTTCTTCTTTTTTTAATCAATCCAGCTATCGAATGTTAGGAAATGCAGAAAAAATTTTAATATATTTTTATTGTATTAACTAATTAATCTAACCATTGATTGACATTTTAATGAATAAATGACAAAATCATATTTAAGATAATCATGATATAAAATAGGAAATGAAAGAAGATTTATTTCTATTTCATCATCTTTTTCTCGACATCTATTCTTTTTTTTTTGCATACCAAGAAAACAATAGACTATTAAATTATATAGTTTTACCTATCATATTTATTTCTCTCTCTCTCTTATGAGAGAGTCTCGTGAATGATAAATTAGATTTAAGTTAAGACTTATCCTACCGGGTAGGACATAATAGACAAGAAAAATGTAGACTGATGCGTGCTCATATTGGTTTGTTCCTGAACTATGATAACTTTGTTCCCCATAGAGAAAAATCTTCTTGTTTAAAAATAACTATCAGATAAAATATTAATTACCTGTACCCGAAATCACTCGCGCATATTTTTTTTCATAAAAAAACCGTCTGAACACTTGCTGATCAAATGTCAATGTAAGTTCATCTAATTGATGTTCAATAAGATAAAATAAACTTCGAACTACTGGTTCAATTGATCCACATCGCGTAAGAATAAGTGATTTAAGATTAGGAAAATGAAAGAATTTTTTCTCGTTAAACAACCATTCATAAATAAGATCACAAGTTATTGAATTTGTTTCATCCAAATGAATTCGTTGAATAGAAGAAGAAAGAGATGATGAATTTATAATCAATGGAAATAATATTGAAGAACATTTATTATAAGATGAACCTTGGCTAATAAGAATACCACTATTCGATCTATTGTCATTTATTGAAAGAACTGAACACACAAGAGAATTAAAACGAATATTTAATGACCATAAAGATATTAACATATCAGGCCATGATAAACAAGAAAACATATGAAAAAGAATTTCATTAGGTAGAGTTTCTATTCGAGTAATCATTTAATCTAAAACAAAAACGATATGTTATGCTCCTTTTCTTTCGGATTTGATCACTGCTGATCGTAAATGAAATAACTGACATGAAAAAATGGTTAAAAAAAAATTCTATTCATTTTTAGCCTCTATCAATATGATCAAGTTCAAATAGCTTTTACTTAATATTAGAAAATCATTTAATAATAATAAAACGTGTAAGTTTTGAGTCGTCACTGAAACAAGATTCCATGGTAAATAAGTAGATCAGTTTTTTTTATTCATGTGAACATTCTATCACGGATGCTGGCTTCGTATTACAACTGCATTAATTAATGCTAATTTTCATTCTTTTCTACTAAAGTTAAAAAATTAATTGAATATTTTTGTATGAGCATTATTCTAACACTTATCATAATTATCTGGGGTTTTTTTTTGTAGTTATATCAATTTAGTGCTTACATCAGATTCTATTTAGTTGAGTTCTCTTTATCGTACTTATATTAGAAAAAAACTGATGTACATATGAAAGACCTAGAATGAGTGCCAAGTAAGTTTGGAAAACACCAGACTCCATAGAAGAGGCCGCGAAAAAGTCACACTTCAGCTATTTTGCCTCAGGTTACAATGGACTGTAGTTGCTAAGAACAGTTTTGGACCGGCCGACCTTCTAGTTGAACGATTTTGACTGGTCTAAATGATATGTCTTTATGCTTCTAGGGTGGGTGTCATCCGAAATTCCTGTTGGCCTGAATTGTATTGTATCGTTTATATTTTATGAAGTTGGTCGTTTCGATCACTCAACGTAAGATAATGTTGCGGTTTAAGAATGGATCGATATAACATTCAGTTTTCGGTGAATCAGTGATCACCAGTACACTGGTTTTTACCGATCAAATAGTCGCACTAGTGGACCGGCCGATGTAATCAACTCAGACTGGTGCAGTTCCATCTTCGATAAAATATAAAGAAAATTCGATTACTTAGAATCTGATACTAGGACAAAATTCATATATCTTACAAAAACTTCACATAATTCTGATAGATGTTAGCATTACGCTAATGCTAACTTAATACTACTGCACGTATCAAATAAATTTGTTAATTTTAACAGCCCGGGACAATGATTGTGGCCACTGAATCCGTAAATTTCTGGCGAGAACTCGCAGGAAAGACACCGTTTCTGGTCGAAAAATGCTAGGATAATGACGCAGGTATCCGCCGGTCGTATGTAGTGATTGAATTTGCCCGGTTTGTGTTGGTTGCAAACGAAACCAGATACATCCAACCACCGGATCCGTTTACTGGATTCTCGCTTTCAAGCTCCTAGCATTTTCTGGTGTTTTTCTGTGGAAACCGGCTCTTACTTCTGGAGCTAAGAAAAGTATTAGGGCGTCCTTAACATTAATGCTAAGCTAGCAATCGAAAATTATACAAATGTTTAAAATCAGCAGTTTCGATCTTCTAGCTCTATTGATTCTGCTTTTGATCTAATTATTGTACTCGAAAACAAACTAATCTTCATTGTATAATTATATGAAAGACGACTTGTTGATTAGGTTATCGTTTGTTTGCACTATACACTGTAATAAAAAAAAATACCATGGTTTTTTTTCTAATACGAACTAAAATAATCGCGTTTCTTTTGTCTATTTTAGCTGCATTATTTGTTTCACAACAAAAATAATTTCATATGATTAACTTATTGCGATAATTTATTCATTTATTCTGAATCAAAATAACTGCATAGAAATTTTATAGGAGATATTGGAACTCAAAAAGAAAATTATAAATGTTTCAAGAACAAATTAAAGTTTCATCTGAGACTTATTT